GTTTAAGCCACTCGTTCCAGGGCCCACGATGGGGCCTCTCTTGTTCCCACCATGGTCGGACAGGCCTTTGGTCATCTCGCTAGTTCCCTGAGCCTGGAACTAGACCCAGGACCGTACTGTGGACTCCTGGAGGTCCTGATTGCCTTAGGCAAAAAGGTGTTCTGTGAACACAAACCTGGCTAAATGATTGAAATAATGAAGTGAAATGGAGCTTACTTGGAAACAAAAGCCTTTTACAACCTTTCTTTCTTTTTTAACATTTATTTATCTACTTATTTGTTATGGTTTTTGGGCCACTGGGTCCAGGACTTGAACCAGGTTGGCCGCATGGAGTCCAGCGCCTCAGCCACCAGGTGCGCCGCCGGCTCGCTCACGTGGGCTGGTATGCAGTGGGAAGCCGCCTGCGTGGCAGGTCCGTGCTCTCCCCGTCTGGCCGTTACTTCAGCGACTGCGCCCTTGGTTCTTACCCCTGCGGAGCGCTGCCCTGCTCCGACAGGAATGCTGCAAGAAATTTGCTTGGGGTTCACCATTCGGCCACCTGCCGTCTCCATGCGTCTGCAGAGGACAGAGCGGAGCATGGAGTGGATGCAGGCGGGCAGCCTGCCCCACAGCAGGCCCAGGCAGAGTACGGACGTCCCCATGTGCCCCCCGTGGGCAGCTAGGACTGGGACCTGTGCTGTCTGCTAATGTAATTCCCTTTGTGTTCACGAAGCACTGAAGAGGCCTGCAGAAAATTCGCTGGGAATCACAGCTCTGGAACAAAAGGAGTGAAAGCTCCTGTCATCTCCGCTGTGTGCTCTCCCCCACCTCGGAGATCTCATGCCTGCAGATTAACGTGGGCGAAGGGAGTCCAGACGCAAACGATTATCGTGTTGGAAACAGAGTTCCTCTCCAGCCCCCAGATGTGAGTTTTTTCTGGACTCTGCCACAATGGGGGTGAGAGTCAGGCCAGCCACTCACGGTCTGCGAGAGCGGAAGGACGGGGGCAGAAAGCAGCTCCCAGCTCTGCCTAGGCGGGGCCATGTGCCACACGTGCCTGGTGCTGTGGCTCCCTGGAGTCATCCGTGGGGCTGACGGGTCTGCCCGTGAGAAGCAAGGCTCTCTCTGCCATGAGAATCGGGGCTCGCCACGTCTGGGTAGAAAGCCAGACTCAGTAAATTCCGCACCAAACTCATCTACTCGGTAACACGAGGATTCACTCGGAAGGGAAATCCAGAGCACGTCTGCGATTTCTGCTGGGGGCTGATGGTTATCTGGTGACACAGTCTCTGATGCTGGCGTCACCACGCAGAGGCTCAGATGAGCTGGGTACCGTGCCCATATAAGGCCGACCAGCCAGCACTCGGGGAGCGGGCGTCTGCACCGGGCGGGCGTGCTCTCTGCTGCTGCAGTGGCTCTGCCGGGAACATATGGCCCCGGACCCCGGGGAGCTGTGGGAAAGAACTAGCTGTGCACGCAGCCGACAGCGGCTCTGCCCGAGCGCTATTTTTGTGTTACATTACTTACAGAACTGTGTCACTCCAGCAGCAGGGCAGGAACGACCCGGCTTCCTGCAGACACACTTGGGAAAGCCTGCTTGCTAACATGCAGTCCGGCCGCAGACGCCGGGTGTGCACCGGACAGAGACCGAGCTTCGATGCGTGCTTAGCGAGGACGCAGTGGTCCGGACAGGCAGTATCTGCACGAACGTGCCAGATAAACCCGCAGTGGTCTGCACGCCCCGGGTGGTGGGGAAGGTTTCAGCGATTCCCGCCTGTCACCCTTTGTCACCCTGTTGATCAGCATCTGGCAGCACACCTGTTAACTGGACAGCTCTGTGTGCCCGGCGCGGGGTCCCCATGGGCCTGCAGCAGCGCGGGTCTCAGGTGCCATGGTGGCGCCTGACTTTTCTCAGCATGAGGGAAGTCAGACGTGGCACCTGGTATGCCCCCTGCGGTGTCCAGGCACACGGAGGGCCCTGCAGTCCAGGCCCCAAGTGGGGTGTCACCTGGCTCTGTGTGTTGGGCAAACTACTCAGACAACCGCCAAATCGCAGCTCGGGCCGTTCGGTGTGTGAGCCTGCCTGAGTGCCTAGGGCAAAGGCATCCCCCGACCGAGTTGTGGGTCATTCCTGTGGACCAAGTTAACCAGAGGGTTTCCGGTCGTCACTTCACTCGGGTGTTTGCTTCCCGAGGGGCACTGTTAATAAAAGCTCTTGAGACCTGTACTGTACATTTACCAAATTTTACAGACCCGGAGACCCTGAGCGGGCCCCTCCGGACAAGCTCTTTGAAGGACCTATGGCATCATGTAAGTGCGGTGTCGCCTGGTGAAACAACCAGAACTCGCGGTCTTCGCTGGGCAGTAACGGTCTTCTAAAGGCATTATGGAAATTCAAAAAATATTGACTCTGTATCAAATAATCATAGAAAGTGAAAAAGAACAGACTCAGTAACCTTCTACTCAGCTTGTCTGGATTCTGTTTGGCTGATTATGTGGACAAGAATGCAGCGTCTCTCTGGAGTCTCACCCCACCCGCAACTTGCCCACTGTGAACGGACCTGCTCCGGTCCATATAAGGCCGAGCCGGCCCGGCTCCTGGAGCCAGCTGCAGCACACACTCTCACGGCCACTGCGGGAGCATCGCTGGGAAAATCTATAGCCGGGGCCCAGGGGATGTGAAATCTCGTAAATGGCTTCCTTATATTTCAAAATATGTGTCCTTCTGAAGTGCTGGTAAATGATCCACACGGAGTAACTCCTCAAACAAAGCACCCCGCTCCGACTCCAAGTAAGAAGCCTGCTCTAAGACTCTGAGCCGCGGCGTGTGCTGAGCACTGCACGCGGAGGAACCTTGCTCTGGTGGCAGGAAGCCTCCATGACTGTGCTTTGCCGCAGAGTAACCATCCGTCACAGGCTGGCACGTCAAAGGACTGCCACGCCGGCACGAAGGTCCCCGTGGCAAACTTCCCCTGTGTGATTCCGGATGGACTCGGCTGGGAGAGGAGCCTGTGGCCCACGGCCAGCGCGGAGCCGAGCTCCATGGGCGGTGGAGCGCCAGCGGCTCCTTCAAACACTGGCTTCAGGTTCCACTCAGCGACACTCAGGGCGGGTCCAGTTCTGACCCCAGTAACCAGTGGCTCTCACACACGACACGTGCCGGGTGAAGGTGCGGATAAGCCTGGTCCTGGAGGGGACAGAGGGAGACACCACCCTCCCTGCCACCAAATTCGCACGATGGGCTTGTGCGGGAAACCATGGTGTTTAGATTTGATTTGAGTTTTGGATTATTGCCATTGTTTGTCAGAGACAGACAGAGAGGGAAAGTGAAAAGTCACCCCCAGTGAGGACGGTCACACCACACTCCCTTCTCCTCCATCCTCTCGGGATTCTGGGCACACACACACCTGTGCCCGGCTTTCCCAGTCACTGCAGATGGCCAAGTGGGAGCCCAGTGCCTTAACCACCGTGCCACCCACTGGCCTAATGACAGCTTTTAAATGAACCAATGCCAGGACTCAAACAGAAGTTTATGTTTTTAAATTTGCCAGAGAGCACATGTGTTCACCAGAGAGAGACAGGCACAGAGAGTACGTGAGAAAGCCCAGGGGGACACGGCCACACCCAATCCCTTCCCTCCATTTCCCTCCATGCGGGATATGGGCACACACGCACAGGCCTGGAGCTGCTCAAGCTCCTGCGTCCGGGCCTTGGATCACGTAGCTGCCCGTGTGGGATCAGCCCTCCAGCACCATGCCGTGGTCCTAAACACCAGTTCAAAGGCAACAGAATGACACGCCAGTCCCTGAACGACCGCATTAGACTCAACACTGGTCAACATTTCCAATCCGCGGTCTTTTCTCTTTCTTCTCTATGAAACGAAAAAGGCTACCCAGGGAACTGTTCCTGCAACCCAGCAGAGACCGCATCGGTGCCACGTCCGCACAAAGTGCGTGTGACTTCCTTGGGCCGCATCAGTGCTCGGGTGCAGCGGGACCCAGGGAGGCCGTGGGCAGTACACGGCGACGACTTACCCGTCCTCCTTTCTCGGGGTAGCACTGGCAGCCCCCGCTGCAGTCTCTCCCTCCACAGGGCACGTCGAACTTCTTCACACCCTGCAAACGAGACACAAAGCAAGAAAACGTTACCCAAAACGCTGTCAATGGCAATCTGTCGGATACATCTGCTGACAGTCCTTCCAACCCTAACGACTCTTCAAACAGCCAAGACGCCTTTTAAAAGGAGGCTTTAAATTTCAGAGTTATTTTAGGTTCACAGCAAAACGGAGTGGATGGTACAGGGGTGTCCCAAATGCCCCCATGTCCACGCCCAGCCTCTCACTGTCACCATCCACAAGTGACGGCTTGCACTGGTGCGGCACTCTCACGGTTAACAGGACACACTCTAAGTGTATTAATTCCATGGCACCAGCCTTTCAAAGTGCCTACTAAGTGCTAGATGCTGAGCCCTGGGGCTGGAAAGTTGAGAACGTTCCCAGAACCCAGGGTGGCTCGTGACAAGAAATCACAGCAGGTGTCCGGGCTGTGCATGAACAAGACGCTCCCCGCATACGAAGCCGAGCTCCATTCTGCCTGGAAGTCAGGGTGATCCCCGTGGGCTCCAGGGGGCCGGCGAGGGCAGCCATGCCCCATCGCGGACACCCACAGACTGTGAGCGCGGGGTTCCATGACAGCGCGCCCCCCTTACCTCATGGCGGGAGCCCGTTCCTCCCCTGCACCCTTCAGGACACTGAGCAGGACAAAGCCATGCAGCCAGTGGGTGCCACCGTTGAGCTTTGGGTCAAAAGCCAAGGCAGAGCTCTACAACCAGCTGAGCAGAAAGCTCGGGACTCGGCCGGACGGTGCCCACGGCAAGGCCGTTCCCACCTTCATCTCCACATTCCACGCCAGACGGACTGGGCGCCCATGGGCAGAGAGGTTCCTGAACCCTTCCTCTCAGAACACCATGACAAGGACGCTGCAACCTGACAGCGTCAGCCCCGGCCCCTCTCCCACCAGGTGACCAGAGGAACCTTCCACCAGGTGTGTTCTGGCAGCCCTTACCCCACACAGGTGAATCCCAGCCTGGCTCCTCCCACCCATCTCGGAAGCCCATCGCAAAGCCTATCCGGCAGGAGTCACAGGGTGGGGGGAGCCTGGGCACGTGTGGCCTCCAGCCAGATCTCAGCACACCTGTAAAGCTCACGACCACGGTCCCTTCCCTGGGATGAACAAAGTGCAGTTCCCACACCTCCCACGGCCTCCTATGTGAGGTCCCAGTGACGAGGCAGGGTGATTACCCAGGGACTGGTCAGCTTCTGTGACAGCACATGTGCCAGAGCGTGCCTGTCCCCGCCGGGTGACCAGCGTTGGTGCAGGGTGCAGACTGCAGAGCCGCGGCCCCCTGCACCTGCTCAGCACAGGCTCCCGGGGGCAGCGCCAGGTGGGCAGGGCAAGGCCACCCAGAGCTGACCTGGCGCTTGGCCGCGACTCGCGCGCGGGTGCAGAAGGCGCCTCCTGGCCACAGTCGGCGGTTTGTACTGGGGAGGGCCCTCCTGGGCACTGCCGTTCCCCTGTGTTTATGTAGTTGATCAGTGGTACGGACGGCGTCGGTCATCACTTCAAAGTTCCTAAGTGCCTGAAAGTCTCACGCCGTGACGCCAATTCCTCAAAAGCATGCTGAATCTTCTTGCTTGTATTCTGTCCTGACCAAGGCAGTCCACTCAAGCTCCACAGCGTAAAAGGAAATGTGCCTAAACCCTTTCATGCCCTCTCAGCAGGAGTCTGGTACTTGCCAGTCCTTCAAAGTTTTAGTGCTCATCTACAAGGCGCTCGTAACTCCTGCGTCTGAACACGTGGGTTTTAGAAACCCAGCTCTACACCAAGCCTGGCTTTCTGGAGGACTGCCCTCTGGCCCCAGGGTCAAGGTCCCATGGCCATGCTTCAGAGTCGGTGCCTTGGCACGTGTCCCTCGCTTACCCAGTAAGTCCTGTCCGGTAGTGCAGGAAGGGTCAGGGGAATGTCTTACTCTAAAGTATAAACTCATAGTCTCCATCCGTGCTTCAAATGCTATTTTTAATTTTGACGTTTAGAGCCATTTTCCAAATCTTTGTACATAAATCAATGGTGGGAATGATTTTAATGGCTTCAAATCGATCCAGCAGACTCCCTAGTCTAGGCTTCGGATATTCAATGGAAGGAGTTATAAAAATGAGTTCATAAACCTGGTCAAAATCAAACGGCACGGTTTCGCTTTTGGAGCTCAGACTCATAGCGAAGGCAGACACCACTCAGCTTCCACCCGGCTCACCCGTGGGCGGATGGCTCGGACTCCGTGTCACGGCACTGAGAGACAGCCCTCCCGCCCTGCTGTGTGGGAGCGTGCGTGCACGCATGTGCGCCTGTGTTCCCACCAGCACCTTATCTGCCCTGAACTGACACTCGGATACTTCTGGCATTTACAAGGCCCTGAGCAGCACACACTGGGATGCCAGAGCCCCAGGAGGAACGAGAACTGTTTGCTTATCAGACTGCTTGCTCCAGACGGACGAGTCATCAGCCTGGGCCTCATGTTCCCTGAAAGATAGGGGCTCTAGAACATTTTCAAGATGCAAATGCCTTCCTGTGGCATTTGGATGAGGAGTGTGGGAACTGCTGGGTGGGGTGCTGGGTCTGGGCTCCAGCCCCTCCCCTCAGACAGAAGAGTTCTCAAAACCCTCACTGACTGCCACCCATGCCCCAGGCTCACGGCCACGCCTTGTCTTCATTGTTCAATGCAACTTAAAGACAACCAGGATCCAACTTCCTGTCCTGTCCTTACACAAATAACCCATTTCCTCCCTCCCTTCCTCCCCTCCCAGTGGGGGCTGCCTACCACCCTTAACGACAAGAAACCAGCCTGTCCATATGTAACTTTTATTTATTCATCATCATCACTATTTAATTTGCTATAGAATACATGACTCACCAGAGAGAGAGGGAGAGAGAGAGAGAGAGAGAGAGAGAGAGAGGGAGAGAGAGAGAAAGCCTCCAGGTCCAAGACTTGAACTGCACTTGGCTGTGTGGGAGTCCAGCGCCTTAACTACCATGCCATTTGCTGGTCTGGGCCCAGTATGCTTTAATATTCTTTATAGAATCCTTATAGGTCTCTCTAAACATTTCACATTTCTCTTTCTACAAAATCACAGTTTAAAAAAGGTAACGTCGGGGCCAGATGCAGCGGCCATGGCCCTGCACTCCCACAGGGTCAACCGCAGTGTGAGTCCTGGACCTGGCAGCTTGAAACTCACAGTGTGCGTGCCCAAAACCCCAGAGGAGAACGGAGAAGGAACTGCAGTGTGGCCTTCCCCACGGGGGCTTTTTTCTCACTCTCTCCCTCTCCATCTCTCCGTGTCTCTGGTGAGCGCACGCGCCCTATAGCAAAAATCTCTCTCAAAAGTAAAAAAGCAAATAAGGTAACACCGACGGAATCCTGCACCCATGTGCTCAGCGAAGTCCGAATTGCCACGGGCAGCCATGCGCAGAGCACTGCTCCAACTGCACACTCTCCACGGCCCCTGCAGGAGGCCGGCCATTGCTTCGCCATGAAGCAGTTCGGGGGGGACACAGTTCTGGGCCAGGGGCTCCCAGGGACCCTGCTCTTGGTGTGGAAAGGGCTCTGCTTCCTCAGACCATGCCACGCCCACTGGCTGAGCTGTCAAACTCTTTCACTTAATTAGGATGTCCTTCAAGACCAAAAAGGACTCTGGGCCCAGGTGTACTGGTCATTCCGAAGACTGGCAAAACTGGTGAGGGTCCACCCACTCTCACTCCCGGGCCATGGGCTGTGCTGCGCTCTGGGCATACAGTGGGCACAGGCTGGAATCACCTCTGCCTTGGAGCATGGGGATGCAGAGGCAGGAAGTGGACCAAGCAGCAGACAAGGGGCCTGCCTCCCTTAAGTTCCTGCGTGCCCTGAAGAAGGTGGCAGCTAGAGGGGAGGAAGGCAGTGGTGGCACATGCAAGTCACACAACGCGATAACAAGACAGGGCAGCCGCACTCAGCTCTCCAGTCTGGGCTGGGCTACGCCCATCACCGCCCATCACCCTGACCCCCACCTCCATGAGGCCCACCTCGCTGCCACTCAGCCCGAGGCCCTCATGGCTGTGACAGAGGGGGCAGGTGACCCAGCCTCCAGGCCTGTGATGACAAGGCCCCCACACTCTCCCCAGCAGGGACCTGAGAACATCCTGCATGAGGGCGGAGTCTGGAGCCCCTTGGGAAGCCCCGACGCTGCTGTTTCTTGTCTTCGGCTCAGGGCTCCACTGCATCCCTGCCGCCTTACCGTCCCTGGGTTGGCACCCGTAGCTCGGGGCTCCACGGCATCCCTGCCGCCTTACCGTCCCTGGGTCGGCACCCGTAGCCTTGTGGCCTGAGAGCCGGCAGACGCCCAGATGTGGGACCTATCGACTGCGGCCCTGCATTCCACATTATGAACGGAGCTTGGGGGGTTCATACTTAAGTCCTTCAGCAAATGGATGGACACTCACAGGGGCTGTTACCCACTCAGCTGGAGGCCAGGCCCCATCTGACACATCGCTCCTTGACACGGTAGTGGAATTAAGGAGGCTGGGCGGGGCCATTGCAGAGCAAGGGACAGGGACGATAAGTCAAGTATTATCATAGGCTCTTGACATCTTCCGTGGTGTGGAACCTATGGAGTGGTGTTGAAAAATAAAGGTGAACCACACGTGTTAGAAGCAAGACGGAGTAAGACCAGAGACGCCCAGCAGACTGAGTCTGAGCTGCAGGAAGAGAAGACCGAGTCATCCCTGTTGCGTCCTGGCAAGGGAGGAGCAGAAGGAGCCATGGCCAGCAGAGAAACGTGGGCCGGCAAGTGGGGCGGCACTGGATGGGCAATTTGAGGACACGCGTCCTGAAGTGCCATTCAGAGTGCTGGGGAACAGGAGGGGCAGGAGAGGGAGGTGGGTCAGAAGCAGGAACGTGGCCATGTGGCAGCAAGGTCCTCAGTCCCCATGTGGCTGTGGCACTTCTCCTGTCTGCACCCTGCCTCTCCCAGTGTCTGGTAGCTGGGGATGCAGGCTCCACCCAGATTTCCTGGATCAAAACTTGCTTT